AACAACAACAACAACAACAACAACAACAAATGGAGCGCGGGAAAAGCCGAGGTGAAGGGTTTTGCCCTTCCTGAGACTGGCACCAGTCAGGGGCTGGTGAGGGAGCACGTTGCAGCCCCATTATCACCGTTATCCATTTGAAATTGTTTCTCCATGTACTCGTGCTGCTGTCGCGGCTTTTCTGTGGCGGCGTGTGTCAAAAATAAAAAAAAAGGACATTTCCAACACCGGTGTGGGGTCAGTAAACAGCGAGGTGGGTTTCCCTGCCCTAGCGAAAGGCACGTTTTGTTCCGTGAGTTTGGAAAAAGCCAAAGGTTTGTGCGAGGGACTAAATCCTCTGCGGCTGCTCGGAACCTGTCGGAGAGGCTCCATGGATTCGTGTGTTGTAAAACCTTTGTAATTTTTCAAATCTCGCTGGAGAATACACAAATGCTTATTTCTCTTTCCTTTTTTTTTTATCCTCTTTTCCTTTTTTCATGTAACTCCAAGGCGGTTCGGTATGACCAGTGTGACAATGTTTGTGAGGTTTTTATGGAAATCCTGTGTTTTGCGTGCCATGAGGCGTTGTGTGCAGCTGGAGGTCCTCGTGTTACATAAAATGCTGGTGGGATTTATTCAGTGTTGTTTTCTTTTCGTCCTTCAATTGTGTTGTAGCAACATAGTGGTGCAAACAAACACAGATTGTAATTATTGTCCTAAACGTAAATATTTACGAAACTCCAAATGTGAAAGCTGAAACAGGACATCCAAACCCAGAACGTCCCCCAGGGAGTAGCAGAACTGCTCATGGAAAATTAAACTAAGAACTGAATAAAATAAAGCACGCATGTAAGTGCTGGTAGGGCTTGGGCACGAAAGAGTGAAAGTATCAACTGTTGTCAGCCTGAACAATTCTGAATCGAAATAAGACCAAATTTTCCATGTTTGTTTTTTTTAAAGCTGCTGATAATCGTGGTGCCAATTTCCGATTTCTTAGTTTAAATAAATGTTTCTGGAAAGTAATAATTTTTAAATTAACTTCCAATAAAAATACAGATTTTATACTTTATGCTATGTGCTACCCAGACCTTGAAGCATCAGAACTTGCTTGTGAAAGAGGTTATGAACCAAATTGAGTGGTTTAAATATTCTAATGAAGTGGCTGAAGCAGGAAAGGAAAATAGGCCACTCTAATAAAAGACAATCAGTTGGTTAGAGTATAAAATTTTATGGAATATACAGACTTTATAGAATTCACTTGCAAATATTAAAGTGCTATGACTGAATTTTAGAAAAAGACATCCTATTCCAGCGTGAGCATTTTGGCAGATAATCTAAGTCAGAGTGTTAGCTGCTGTTTGATGTTTAGTTTTAATTACAGAATTCTTGGCTGTGTTGAAATGTCTCGTAAGAAAATCTATGGAGTTTGTGTTTCTCAGTGTTATTCCTTTCTCTGCCTGTGAAACTGCAGTCCTCGCCGAAATCAACGGGAGATCCCCACTGCTAGGCCCTGTGTAACCTCAAACATTTCACGTGAAAATGGGCTCCAAAATAGACATTCCAAGAAATTCTTTAAGCCTTTTTTCTTCTTTTTTTTTTTTCCCCCCTTACTTTTCATGCAGGAGGAAGGCTGGTACGGTTACAAAAGTGAGGTGTGCTGCTTTCGTGGTTTTGGTTGTTGGTTTCATGTTTTCTGCAGTCCCCTAGGCTGGTCGGAAACTTGTGGGAATGCGCTTCGGAAAGGAATTTAACTTGCCCTGCAGAGATGCTAATTTCAGTTGACTTTGCTTTTGAAACTCCTTGTATGGTTTTCATGTCAATGCTGACTCAACCATGACGTTCAAGGCCGGGTTGGATGAGGCCCTGAGCAACCTGATCTAGTTGGAGATATCCCTGTTCCTTGCAGGGGGGTTGGACTAGATGGCCTTTGAAGGTCCCTTCCAGCCCTAACGATTCTATGATTCTATGATTATCTACACTGGACAGCTCAAGCCAAACCTTTCTGGTGTCGATATGTATCCTAAATCAGCTAAAGCAATTTTTTTTAAAAAAAAATTGGTGATTTTCTGACTGTGCTTTACTTCAGTTTTTTGGCATCTAACATAGGTTTCATAGTCTCAATTTTGTCTGTGAAAGGGGCCTTAAGAAAATGAATAAGCATTTATAAACTCTTCAAGATCCTCGTAACATAGCTGTAAAAATGTAATATATCATGGCTGCATAACTGTGTCAAATTTTCCTCTGACTTTGTCCCATTTATTTTCAGAACATGCTTGAAGAGCTCCTAATTCATAAGCCAGATGATCCCATTCAATATATGATAAACCATTTAAAGCACAACAACGATGATGGTGAGTGAAGATTGAGACACCATAAATAGTTCAATTCCTTGTTTGTAAACAGCTGCTTGAAAGCTGTGCTTCAGTTGTAAATGGTGGATAAAACTTTTCAGACTATGTCTTGAGGGGAAAAAAAAACAAGGTGAGCGTTTTGGAATAGTTATAGGTAAGATGCTTTTAATTTCTTTTTTTAGTGGGTAATCTAATAAAAAATGCACTTTAACAGTTATAACAATGAAACTCTCTAAGGGAATAACAAAGAGTTCTAGTGTTTCAATTATTAATGTGTTCTGTGCCCCATCTGATCGTTCCTGTTGTCTTTAAGCTCGCTAATTACTCCTTTTGTCAGGTGTAAATTTGGTTTCCTATTCTACCTGGGCTGGCAGATTCTCTGTTTTCTGATTAGTTAGTTACTAGCTGCTGTTAATGAGTTCCACTGCTCAGTGGCATCTCGGATGAAGGAGCAGGGAGCGTGTAGGAGTAACAAAACCTGGTAAATTGAACAGGAAGTCTGTATTCTGCACAATAAAAGCTTGTACACTCAATCAAATTATTTGATTTACAAACTGTTCACCCTTAGGCAGATTACATTTGGATATGCACAACTGAACTATAATTTTTGTTCTGCATGAGCTGTCAGGGATAGCTGGTGTCATGTTGCTTTGATGTTTCTTTAAAACCATGGTAAACCATTATGAAAGTTCTGCTGCAGCATCAGGGAAATCGTTATCACCAGAGATGCAGCGAGCTCTTCGTGATGGTGATCAGATGGATGTTGATTGAAACGCTGCTAAATATTTAAAAAAAAAAAAAAAATCAAATCCTGCAAATTGTGTTCAGCCTTTTCTGATGCAGGCAGCATGAGTAATCAATCTGTTTTATAGACCCATGGAAAATACGCGAAGGAATTTCATGTGGTTTGATAGGATGCTGATAAAATTTCCTCACACTGAGCTGACGTTTGTCCTTAAGCCCCACAGTATTATGTGAACAGAATTAGGCAGGTTTCCATTTCGTGACTTCAGTGCTTAGAGGCTAAAGATAGAACTACAGCAGTTGTTTGTCAAAGGAAAAACACTGTCTGCTTTTGGTCTGGAAAAAACTATTAAGAAAGAGAAGGAACTCCAATTAAAATTAAAGCCTAAATGTTGTTTTAAGAATAAATTATATGGAAAATAATGTAACAGAAATCTGTAGCAGAGTTGATTTTACTGTTTGATCATGGTGGAAGGTGCTGACTATTTAGAAGAAAAAAACCCTTATTAGAGCCATCAGTAAAGTGATGAATTTTCATGATCTTGCCTTGCTAGACAGTTTTAGCCCTAGAGAAAATTTCAAACAGAGATGCGTGGAAAAGAAGCATTGCATCTATCCCAGGTGTGAAGTTAGAAAACCTTTTTAATTAATAATCGGATCTAAAGAACTCTTAAAAATATAAACAAGTCTAATGATGATTATAGCTTACAACTGTCTTGAAAATTTCGTAGGTCATGTGTGGCCAAGTGTTCGTGCTTGAGGTTCTGTGTTGTTCTTTCATCTGATCCTTCTCAAAGCCTTAAGAACCATATGAAGACTGCTAGTTCTTTCGCAAAGATGCTTATTTTCTACATGGCGTCTTGGTTTGTGCTAATAAAAAAAGCTTTCGGAATCCAAGTGGCATTTCTGTGAGTTCTTCCTTTCCAGTCAGACCTCTGAAGAAATGTTGGAAAGTTCTGCAAGAACGTTCATCATGTGCTGTGTGCTTTCCTGTTTGACAAAGGATTTCTTTTACAAGTTAAGCAAATTTTGTTGCGTTAATAGTAATCATAGAATCTTTTTGGACTTAAATGCAACTCAGTGAGTCCAGCTGTTCTTTTGCATTATTCCAGGATGAATTTTGTTAGTACTAAAATGATCGTTGAATGTTAAAACTTACTTTGCTTGGAAGAGTAAATCCTGTAACATCCTATCAAGACTAAACCTAGAACGGTCTGTGATTTGTTACTGAAGAAAAAGGCATTTTCTAGATTTTCCTGGCTTCATTCAGCTGCTGGTTCAGACCTCCAGTATTAAAAACTGACTATTTGCCGACTGGAGGGGGTTAAACATTACATCCAGTGGTATCCTGGTTGTGCCCTTGTGTCATATGTTCAGGGAGAATGCTTTAGAGGAGTCTTACAAGTGTGCAAATGAGTAAATCAGTGAATTCCACTGCCCCGTCTGCCGCCAGCCACTAAGCAGAGAGAAAACCAGATTTAGTACAAAGTGAGCATTTACAGTAGCCCTGGGCAATATTAAAGCATGATATGGTGTATATAATGGTATGTTTCGTTTTTTATCAAACGTTTGTCCAAGAAAGCTGTGTATTAAAGCTTCAATACCTAAGGGTTTTCTTGTGAATTTTAAATCATGCTCCTAGTTAAACCTCAAAAGGATCTGTGGATGGAAAGGTTTTTTGATTTTCTTTGAAGTGTTTTGAAGAAGTTGATTAGTGTTGGCACCCGAGCACTCTTTTATGACGCTGTTTATAAATAATTCCTAAGTACCAGGCTGGAGTTTCAAGGTGTTAGATTAAAAAAAAAAAAAAAACCCTAGGATTTAATCATATTACATTTGAAAGAAATTAGGTGGTAAAAACAGCTGATGTATCCTTTTAAAGTATTTTTCTACATTGTGTACTAGTTCTGTTGCACTTGCAAGAACCAATAAGGGGGGAGTTTTTCTTAAACCTTCCGAGTCAGATAACTTTGTAAAGATGAATTTGTAATTTGGATTTCATGTATGTTTAAAAATTGCACCTGCCCAATAACTGTTAAGTCCGTAGAAAGCCTCATAAAAATACATTTCACATCCTTCCCTGTCTGCTGCCATCAGACAGTGTATCTCCCCTGGTTATCAAGGGCTGAAGAGGTTTTTTGGTGAGTAGATCCCTCCTCTGTTTTGACCTATGTTACTCCTAGTAAATACTCATCAGTCCCCTCTGTACATAGGCTGTTTTGGTTTGTTTTTTTTTTTTTTCCCTGAGGTACAGGAGGAAAAAGCATCAAAGATGTTAATATAAAATAACAGCTCAAGGGAGTGCAGCCCAAGGTGTTTTCATGGAAAAATCTCAAATACTTTCCTAAAAGTTACTCTGTTCTCCCTTGTCTTGCCTCTAATCCATTCCCAATGAAGCTTACAACACTTACGCCTACTGTATGCATTAGATTAAGAATCCCTCAGAACTGGGATGTATTTTTCCCACCTTGCCCCCTCAGGGAAAGGAGAGGGACATGCAGTAGAGAAACACAACATACAGAGACGAAGAAAATTTCTTTTAATGATGGCTAGAAAAATTAAAAGTAGCTGTCAAAAGGGGGGAGAGAGAGACAGAGAGTTTAATTTTGCAATAGCTAAATCTTCTCTGAATCCTGACACACCTGTTTAGATGAATCTAAAAAGTGGAATTGCATTTTTTTGTGTGATGAGAGCCGAAAGCATTGTCAAAGTAAAAAGTATTTTTACTACCATATTGTGTAAGAGAAATGAGAGAATAGATGATCTCAAAAAGTCCCATCCAATCTCAACCGTTCTGTGATTATAATAATAGTCACGTTGAAACAGTCTTGTCCTGCATGTACAAGCTAAAATACTTTTTCATCACAAAGTGTGTTAGGTCTAAATCAATGTTTTGGGAATAAAAGTCAAACTCAGGTAAGGAAATGTTCATATCTTATGCTCTGGTTCACCCACTAAACTATCCACGTGTTTAAATTAATTCATATATATATATATGTGCACTTAAGTGGGCTGTTTAGTTAGAGTATTAATGGTATTGACCTTGGAGATTAAAGGAAGCCCCAGCTGTCACTGCCTTGGTGTTTCCCCAATCCTGAACTTTCCATTCAGGCAGATTTCCAGATGAAATAGTTGTTTCATTGTGATTACATTTATATTATGCAATGCAATAGTGGGAAACTGGTTGGGATTTTTGCTGTTCTGCATCTTGACATTCAAATATTCTTTTTTCATAGCTCCAAGAATTTGTGTACTCGGTCCACCAGCTTCTGGGAAAACTACAGTTGTAAGTATGCTACCTTCAATGTTATAATAACGTCCAGTTACCTTTTTATTTTTTACTGAGATCAGCACTTGCGAAAATTTTATTCTGAGAAAATAATTTTCAGAATTGTCAAAGTGATAGAAGAGCACAAGACAGGTT